ACGCACACACACACACACACACACACACACACACACACACACACATACACGGAGTAACGTTGTGATAACGCTGTGATAATGCTACGTCAGACTATTTCGAAAGCGCGTCATCGCGCGGCGCGATCAAGTCGGCGACGTTACGCCGAGATCACGCGTGCACGCGTGGCACTGCTCGGCCCACGCGGTCCCGACACGCGCGATCCTCGAACGCTTTCCGTTCCGTTCCGTGGCGAAACTCGAAATCGAGACGGTCTTAATTGTTGCTCGCATCCCTCCTTTATCAACTCCCCCGAGAGATATCCCCGTACGATTTAACCGAGAGAACGGACGCGCGAAGAGACGCGACGCGACGCGCTCTTCCAATCGCACAAGTCACTTGTAAAAATAATTCCTCGCGTAGATCGCAATCTATAGATCGTAGATCCGTACGTTCGTTTCGATCACGACACGGTTACCACGCGATTACCGCGTTCCCCGTATCGATCGTTCTCGTCGATCTTTCTCGCCAATACCAAATCATCTCTATTGATTGACCTGCCCGTACATACAGTCTATTTCCGCCCCTCCTCCCCCCCCTCTCTCTCTCTCTCTCTTGTCAATATTATTGTCACGCTTCCGTTTTCGCTTGTTTGGCTGTACTATTGTACGTGGTAGTATTGTACTTATTGTACGTAACTCCATTTAGAACTCCGTCCGTCGGAATTCAATTTATGAACGTCTCCAATTCGGATAAAATGAACTTCCGGGCAACAGCGTCGTTATTCCGAAAGAATGCAAAGACTGAGAAGACGAGAAAAGCTCGAGGAAGCTCGCGTCTCGAAAAATCTCGCTCGATTTTTAGGGAGAGACTAATGTCGTAATAATATATCGCGTATTAACTAATTGTATAAATAAGTATTTCAGTAATCTGTATTTCGAGAGACAAATGCTATTATTTTCGCCTCGCTTTTACTCATTAAGCGCTCCACAGATTTGTGAAGTTTAATTTTATATTAAAAACTGGCGAATTGAATCGGCGAAAGTCAGGTGAATAGAATTGAACTCTTAAAGCGCAGGAAATTGCAAATTTCTATTTTAATTTATTTCTCCTCCGTAGGTAGGCGGGGAGAGAATACAGGAGGAAGGAGGAGTCCGCGGGTAGGAGACGGGGAAGGAAATGAAATATGCTGAAGAGATGGCTGGCCGTGGAATACGCGTGCGGAAAACAGGAAGAATTTATAGTGGCACCCCGGTGTTCGGTGTTTATCGACAAAGTTTCTACCGTTAACGAGACATCACGATCAAGTTTAATGAAGAAAATGGGATCAACGGACGGGAGGATCAGAAAATCGTTTAACGGGTGAAAATTTGAAAATACGCGAAACACCTTGCCTTCAAATCAAGAAGCAACATGAATCGCGAATACAATGGATCTAAAATCCAGATAAGCTTTCGTGTCCTATATTTTAGAGAGGGATATTATCTTTTATGTGATATTACACCGTCATAATGTGTGTGTGTGTGTGTGTGTGTGTGTGTGTGTGTGTGTGTGTGTGTGTGTGTGTGTGTGTGTGTGTGTGTGTGTGTGTGCGCGCATAAATTTTTCAAATATTTATAAAATACATATTAAGAACGTAACATACCTATTTTTATAATTTTTATATTTACAATGAAAAGTTATGAAAAACTTACAGATTATTTTAATGGCATTTGTAATGGCAAAGTAATACAAAAAGGTTGAACAGCGATTTAGAAACTGGATTAAAAATTTAAATTTAAATAAATAAATATAAGTGTATTCTAATGGAAATGTAATGAAGAAATATAAATAATATGAATATAAATATAAATCTCATTCAATCTCTCTATATAAATACTTTAAGTTAATTCAAGATTATTTATGTAATGTTTTATTGCGATGCATAGATTAATTGTTCCGTAAATAAAAATTTAATCATTATCTTGAATACTTAAAGTGCCTATATAGAAAAATTAAGATTTTCACGACATTATTTCGTAATTGCATTTCTATCAAAGCATATTTCCTACATCAAAATGATGAACTTCTAAACTGCTATAAAACTTTGTGCATTAATTCTTAACTCTTCATTAATTCGATTTGGAATAATAACTGTTTCATTTAAAATAAAAATAGATGTGATACATCCGCAAAGCCGCAAAATTTGCCATCTCGTTTGCAGCAAAGGGTATCACTCTCAAAAAATATTTGATATGCGTTTAAACGATCGGCATACCTACGTTTTTTTCATACTAATAAAACGCATTTTCTCGGGCCATTTGCCGGCTAATTAAAATGGAGAGATATTCAATGTTCCAATTACCCTGGGCAAACTATGAAAAATTCGAAAACGGAAATTAAAAGTGCTCGTGCCTCGCATAGCTTTTCCATTTGGCTCGGCGCGGAGAAAATCGCGAAAAATTCACGGAAATGTGTGTTTCGTCCACGGGCGGATGTATCCGCGATATCTAGCATTGGCTTTCGCGTCCGCTGGACATTCCGCGGCCGGCGAAGTCACGCGAGAAACGTCTACGTCCCTCAGAAGATGAAGCGCGGGAAGCGGGAGGGGCGATGGCGGGGGGGGAGGTGGAGATTGCGCGAGAGACGAGGTCGAAGATGGGATTGGAATTGCAAATATCCCTCTTCTCCGTCTCTCCGGTCTTTCCAGAGCCTCGATCTATCTCTCCGCTTCTCCATCGACCGCTCGCTCTGACCCCGGAACGTGTACCAGGGGCATATCGCGGAGGCATGTTTTAAAGAATCTCCGCCGGACGACAAATCGTCAGATTTCGCCGGATTTAAATTTGTTACGTACGTAACAAACGCGGAGGCCGGTCGCTCCTCTCCTCTTAGCGTCGTTCTAAAAGAGATATTTTTTCAGATGAGCCGAGATCCCTCGTACCACCTCGTAATGCTTTAGCACTCGTAACTCGTTTACTTACTCGGAGCTTTATGATTTCGACGCTCGTTTAGAATAATCCAACAGCCGCTTATGATGTCATATTATCCCC